TTTTTCTTCTTGCAAAAGGATCTTATCAGCAAACCATACTAACGGAACTCATTATTTTTTTTTACAAAAAATATGTAAATGCAAAAACAATGCAAACTTGTCAGACCATGATTTCCTGTCTACTTTACACACAAACAAGTGACAGAACTAAAGCCTAGTTCACACTAAATGATTTTAAAACGTCGGGCTGAACTGTGCGGTTCACACTACAAAACTTGCTCTCAGTGAAATCAAGAGTGTTCAAGTTTTTAGCTGTTCACACCACACAACACAACGTGATTGATCCACAACAGGAGGTAACTCACTACACGAGTTGACAACGCACTACATAGAGATACAACCACGATTGGATGATAAGAGCAAATCATTTGTGACTCAATGAGAGCCGTTTCAGTACTATGCTACGGTCTAAATCCTGAAAATAATCAAATAAATAACGAGTTGACAACAACTCTGTCACTCAACGATTTTATCTTGTCTACAAACCACGTTTTGTCACGAAAAAACACGCAGTAAATAAATAAATATTGTGCCAATTATACCCAGCGAAGAAGAGAACACAACACGTGAATATGGACGTCAGACAGAAACTAGTGCTGCACACTGTTTGCGCTACGATCTTCTCTGAGGAAAAAAATGCAAAAAAAAAAAAAAGAAGATTTACCTGGTGTCCTCAACCTATGCGTTGCTATGATTGGCTGTACCCATGACATCACTGAGTTTGAGTCGCGCGACGGCTCTGGATATCTAGCAGGCTAGTTATTTTTCTGGGCTCGGCGAGGCGTCTGCGAGCGTTTTCGCTGCATTGTTGGCTCTTTCATACTAACAGATTGGCAAGCGTTCAACGTCCGCTAATCCCCCACGATTTGCACGCGATAACACCCTGACCTGTCGGCGACTCAACGATTTGCAAATCGGGCATAAATCGAGCTTAAAATCCTGTAGTGTGAACTTGGCATAAGCCACACAATTATAGCATAAAAGGCTGAAACCATTTCTGTACTGCTACTGTATGCTTATCATGTTATCATTCACATCAATAACCTTGGTGGGCGGGTTAATAATACAAAAATATAATTGTTTTCTACAAGTGTATTATATTGTTATATCACAATCAACATCAATGTGTTCATGTTTGCGCAAATCATTTCTCACCAAACTGCTTTATAAATGAGGGTCAGTAAAAAGCTGGTTTTGCTATGAAGCTGCTCCTGAAAAAAGAATCGGTACTAACCATTCGTGTTCCTGCTGCACCTCCAGAAGAAGTGAGTGTTAAGTTTTAAAAACCTTTAATCTTAATCTTTGCAAATCGCTTGCACGCTTCACGATGAATGCAACTACAGGTTTACACTCAAGGTACAGTACGGCATGTTTTCTACCTTCTCAATTTAATTCATAGTATACGTTTAAAATGAACAACGTGTTATGGTTACTTATTGTGTTATTACAAACTGAGTTACTCACTAAGTGACTCTACCCAGCCAGTACATACAAAGATAGATCAAAGTGACATTATGCTAACCAACCATTCAGAGTCCCGTTCGAAACCTTAACTGTCGAACTTCTTTGCAGCCGTCATCTTGTTCCGGGTGGGACTCCGGTTCAAATAGATACAGTTGCACAGAAGTGTCGTCAGAGACTCCCGCTGCCATTCTCTCTCCAAAATATACCCTCAACTGTTGTCTAGGCAACATTCTACATGCCTTGTGTCCAGCAAAAAAGAGGGGCGGAGTGAGCGAAGCTCATTATCATTTAAAGGTACATGCACTAAAATGTTGTGCTGAAAACAGAGCTGTTTTAGACAAGGTAAAATTCGCGTTTTCTTACAATACTAATGAGAATTTTTAATTAAAGTATATTACAAACTTTTCATTTAGACCCTTCAGAATCAAATTTAACTTGTATGAAAATGGCATTATATGACCCCTTTAAAATCTTCCAGAGCATGCTTGACATAAAATCAAAAACTAAATTTGAAGTTTGACAATCTGATCAGACAACATTATTCCGCCAAACTACTTCTCACCACTACATCCCCCAATCGTTTCAGAAAGTAAAATGACCAACTATGAATTAGGGATGTAACAATATATCGTGTCACAATATATCGCAATACAAAAATGCAACAATACGTTATCATGGATAGTGACAATATGTATCGTGGATAGTCCCCCAAAAATAAAAATTACTATGTGAGAAAAAATTCAGTTTTTCAGAGTTTTAGTGTAAGTTCTACATTGAACTACAATATATAATGTTGATTATAATGTATATAAAAGCAGGGATATTTGTAGGTCTTGATAATGCCAAATGTCTAATGTTACCAATAAAAAGTGGCCGACATTATTTTAAATATATCTAGTCCGCTTAGCTTTAATAATAAAAAAATTAGTGATAGTGGAGATAGTGGCAAATTACACTTGCTGTTTACAAAAACTTCCAGCGGTAAATGTGAATGATGTTAACAACACTGTGTGGCAGTTAGCTGTCACACATAAGAGTAAAAAAGAGATGGGTTTTAAATTATATATTTCGAGCAACATCGACAACTTTGAGGGTGAGTATTCTCTCACATCGTGCGAAATCCGACTAGCGAATCAGTTTTTCAAAATCGTTGTCTTCATTTCTGAGAAAATTAATTTTATTAAAGCTTTGCCGCTATACACTTTGCCTGCAGAACGCGTTATGCGGAAGTAAAGAAGCTGGCTGAGATCCCATCGGACATACGTCAGCAGGGTTCGTGCATAGAGCCTATTACTCAAGAAACATACACACTTGTGACCGCATTACATTATTACTGCGCAACTGCCGTTTGTGTTTCTTTGTTGCTGCATGTGTTGCTTGGCAACCTCTTTGGAACTACATTGCTTGGTGGAGGAATAAATGTGTTATAATGTTATATTTTTTTGTTGCTGGTGTTTATTTTATGAATAAAAAAATATTAAAATGATTTTCTTTATTTATGGAGTAACCATTTTATAAAAGCAATAAGCCCTGCAAAGCAGTGTTTTACAGTGAATTTAGAACAGCTAAGGGGCGTTGTTAGGCATGAAGTGGAGCGGAGACTTTTTCTAAACAAGAAACTGGCTTTGCGTTTTAAACAGGGTTTTTTTTTTTTTTTTAATCTTCTGGCCATAGCGGACAAAAAAAGTTCAAAATGACTCATCCTGCACTACATATTTTTGTCCAATCAAATACCACCTGCAACTGCAAATCATGGTTCACATAACTAAAGTCTATATTGACTATTTTAAAGAGAGAGACAGACCAAGAGATCATTGTTTAGCTCAAATAGCTTTTTCAAAGGACATATGGGGTCCTAAAATCATCACTAATAATAATCTTTAGTTTTTGGTTGCAGATTTAGCAGATTTATTTGGTTTAGCTTGTTGAAGGTATTTATTCCCTGACTAGATTGGCCATGAGCACTTTATCTCTTCTCTGGTTATATGGTTTAATTACCACCAATACAATAAAGACAATACAAACACAACGTCCTCTGTGAATGTAAGAGTGTGACTTTGAGGAACAAATGAAGTAAGCTCACACAACCTGATTCCTGGTACAGCAGAGATGCTGAAGATATCAAAGCAGCTGAGCTTTGACTGGCATGCCCACGTGGAGGCTTGCTTGGTGTTTCAAAGCATGTCATTCTTTTCGCTAAATATAGACCTTGTTGTTGTCACCACAAACTAAGAAGGCTACATACACTATGATGATTAGGGTGAATTCGGGTTGATTGGGACACTTTTTGCCATTGAGATCAATGGAACCATGTGTCCTAACTAAGTCAAGTCACCTTCATTGTCACCTTGTTTCAAAGCACCTTTACAGTGATAGGAAATGAATGCAACAAATATTGTTTTGACAATCAACCTGAATTCACCCATTTAATTTCGTCAAGCAACAGTCATGCCTCTGGTGTGGTCAAAAAATAAAAACCCTCAGGGAAACCAAAAGGTCACGTATAGACAGTCATTGATTGGACATAAATATCTCTTAACCTCGGGAATTCTCTTTCTGACGTCAGAACTGCGCGAGCTCTGTGTCTCCCCTCCATTTCTGCAGGGACACGCGCGAACGCGTTCAAAGCGTTGTACCGCCACGCGACACCGCGGGCCCCGCCCCCCCGATCGAAACGAGAACGCGCAAACAGAATTCATTCACCCGAAGGTTTCGCGCGTGCATCGCGAACGCGCTTTACTATACAACCAGCTAAAGGGAAAACGATAAGAACATCTTTCGAGACGAAAAAGAAAAAAAGCGTTCGGGTTTTATTCTCAATGGTTACGTAAAACATGGTTGATTGAAAGAAATATCATATGTCAGTGACAAATGATAACCTGAGCTTTATCCTCCCCCACTTCCTAGATGTTTGAATTGAAAATACCCCCTTCATACAACGCTATAATCCGTGCATTAGCTTTCACTCTCCGATGAACTGAAATGCCCCAAACCAACATTGTATCAGCTCACACTGCTTTACTGGTAACGTTAGAGATTTAAAGCATCGGCTGTGGTGATACCATAATGTGTTATGCAAATATTGTTTTTGTGAGGAGAATTCAAACCGTAATGCCCGTGACACACACACACACACACACACACACACCGGGCGCACGACTACTGCATGGGGCTCACAAAATACATCTTACAGCAGATGACAACTCAGTTTCGCCTTCCGACTAGATATCTATCCCATTCTGATGAAGCGAAACAGGAGACGTGAAAATAAGCGGCATTCCCTCCTCGACTGCGAATAAGCGCTGTATATCTCGGATACATTCAACCGCTCCATTTCTAGGAAAGCTTCGTTTACACCAAACCATTGAAGTAAGTTCCTGCCCATAAGACTGTACAAAAAACAAATGTAGAGACAGAAGGTTGGGGTTTACAGAGGACGACTCATTCTTCGGGGGGGAAAACGGGAAAGAACCCACCATCCACTGGCAAACTCAACGTTTATGCTATTGAAAAACGCTAACGATGACAATACTTACAATTTTGGCATTAAAATGATCTGGAGGGCGGTAGCCGTTTCGTTTTCTGAAGCACATCCGTTTGTTTTTGCCTGTTTTGTGAGTAAAATACAGTATCTTTTTTTTCCTCCAATGTTCCAGCTTGAGAATCGACACCCTTACGGAGGCAGGCTGAGGATGAATTGCGCATGCGCTGATTTAGACAGTTCTACTCAGTCGATTGACGAAGGACTTCCTCAGTAATTGTCATTTCCAGCGGAACTTTTCAAGTTGATCTGCCCATAATAATAATAATAGTAGCCTTAACATTCTGTTGATTTAAGTAACAAAATAAAACTGTGTAGCCTACCAATACAATAATTTCCCTTTGATGTAGGCGATTCTCTCTTAGGTGAATAACCCAGACATTTACATTCTACCCAACTTAAATATGTGATTTACTTTACATGCATATAAGAGTTTATTGACCACAAAGCAGACATGTGGATTTAAAATAGAATTTCTATAAATTGAATCATCATTGTTTCATACGGTAGATTGTCTTCACAGAAACCTTGAAAATATCCAGCAGGGAGCGCCAAACACTAAAAGAACAACGAATCCCAGAAATCCCCCAACATCATTTCTGCAAGATTCCTGAAGATAAAACCATAAAAATACAATAATCAATATCAAATAGATGCAATTTAACTGGCTGAACATGCAAAATGTATTGCTTTGAATTATCTTGATGCGTTTTATTGCCAGATTCGATGTGCTTTTACTAATGCCATCTGAAGTAACGTGTCTCTCTTCATAAAACTCCACTGTTCAACAGTTGAAGGAAATGGCTGAGGGTTACAAGGGGACACCTATGCGGCGACCACTTGGTGTCAGTAAAGCTCTCTGCCTAGGGCTGAACCCCCTCGTACACCATTAAGAAGTCTGCAGTTGATTTATCATGACTAAATGCGTATCCCCAGTTCCCCACTAAAAACACCTATTTTGCTTGTCCATTTTAGGCACAATAAGAATGTCTTTAAAAATCAATTCCTTTTAGATATAATTCATGAGTCTATGTTGTTGAGGCTATTTCCTTGCTAGCAGCTCAGCTAATTGTGTTATCTGCTTCATGTCATCTTCATCACCCATCTTTAATTTAAGAGACATGAAATTGACCAACCTTTCTCCCTCCCTCTAATTACAATGCTGACATAATGACTTTAAATCGTAATTAGGTTGAATTCTGACTTTGTTTACCTCTCTCTGATGCAGAGAACCAACATGTTTGCTCAGGGTGAGTGTAGCCTATAACTCTCAAATAGCATCACACCTAAAGCACTTCGCTTTGTCATTGGCTCTCTTTCTGTAATAACGTCAGCAATCTGAAAGGTGATTAGAGGGCAGTTTTATTCCTCAGACACTACTCATGCACACCTTACAGACTCATCATCGCTCAGTCCGAACCCCCGCTGCTAGATTCACCCCATGGCACTGATGCTTTACAGATTCACACACATACTCACACAAAAGTCTTGCTGACTGAAGCATGTTTGACTGCTACTGACATTGCAAGCTGCCCTGTTCTTTACTCTCACCTCTATTTGCCAGTAAAGTCAGTCTGGGCTTCTTCTTCTTCTTTCTTTTTTTTCTACCCAGAAAATCTCTGTGCTTTAACGGAAGACTTTCATTTTGTCTATGTGTTTTTGTTCTCGATAATAATCTGCTGAGATGGGATTACTGAACAGTCTCCATTTTGGCAACCCCCTTTGGTTTCCAAAACCCAGTTTGAAGAAATAGCAGAAAATATGAAATATGATACAATAAGATCAGAGATTGAGAACTCTGGTTATTGCAAGAGCTGCACAGTGGATTTTATACAACAGTCAGTCCTAGTCCATATATTGCTCAAAAATGAATGTTGCTAAAAATGAACAGAATTAAAAACATTCCTGGTACCACAGGCCAATCTACAATTGCATTCAATATCTTTTTACATTTAGACCTTTGCAGTCATACACTCAAAAAATGTTGGCTTTAATTAACTTTTTTGTGTCCAGAATCCATAAATTAACTTGTTTTATGTCAACAGGTTCCACCCACGTAACTGTTATGTTAAACAAACTCATATTTTCAGCTAATATGAGTTTGGCTATATGAGTTTTCGACGAGATATTTGCGTTTTTCACTTTGGGGGCATGCAATTCCATCAGGTGTCTTCAATAATGATCAATCATCCCTGAATAATTCACTTCATTATCTCATTAACTTTAACACTGCTTCAGTGTTCATCACTTAAAACTGCTTAATTCCATTATGTTGAAGTTACATGAACAAATTATGTTTGTTTAACGTAACCTAGTTATGTGGAACATGTTGACATAAAAAAGTTAATTAAAGCCAACATATCATTTTTTGAGTGCATAACCAGCCATTACTAAAACCATTAAAAATTGTTTGCTTTAATTGAAATAAAGCTGAAATAAAATAGCCTATACATATTAGATGAAAATCTTACAAACAAAATAATAAATAATTACTACAATAATTACTTGTAATTCGCCTGCTTTATTTCAACATAAATTTTAGAATTTTAATATTGGTCATTTACAACGCATTCTCACCCCAAGGCGTCACCTTTGACCATGCTTCAATATTTGACGTTTTAGGCGCCCTTTAGCGTCACTTACATGACGCGATCCTATGGCGTCATCTAACTGACGCTGAAGGAAAGCGTCTGTTAGAGGACGCGGTTAGGTGTGGGGTGGGGGTAGGGTACACGCGATCCTAGGGCGTCATCTAACTGACGCTAAAGGGCGCCTAAAGCGTCAGATATTGAAGCATGTCCAAATGCTTCCCAAGGCGTCAGTTACGTGACGCCTTGGGGGTGAGAATATCAATTTCCATCAATAACATTAAAATCATTTTCTGTAAATAATTTGTATCACCCGGAATTTTAAAATCAGCTACATCCCTAAACATAAATGCTTTATTGGTCTGTTGTAGTAATATATTTCTTGAAGTTTGCAACATTAGCTATATTTCCACCTGCACATTTTGGATAGGGATGGAAACACAAAGATGCGTATAAATTCTAAATATATGCATAAAAATCGTATGTAAGCACATTTACTGTTCATATCTTGTATGCTCATAAAGGTTAGTTGACTATTTTTAAGACAGTCCAATCAAACACATGCTAAATATTTGGCATGCAAGGCCACAATATAGTCTGTATTTTCAGTCTCAGAGCATTCAGTAAATATTTTCTTTGTCTCTTCAGTTATCTGCGGTTGATGGTCAGGCCCTCCTCATCCTCTAGGATCTCTTCAACTCTTCGTCTCTAAATAGAGGATTAAAACAGATAAGCAAAATAAACGTTGAAAACCTTATTTGGGAAGTTCATGTTATTAAAGATGCCCTTCCAAGTTTATTTACAATATGAACATCTAGTCATGTAGCAAACTTACAAATCAGGAACGCTGACATAAACGTTTCATAAGCAGTCAAGTTAAAAGGGATTTTGAAGGCATCCAACAATGAAAATTCTGCAGAATTTTGCAGAACACAAAATATATTGAAGCATGTTTCTGGTTGTATGTACTGTACAAAGAGTCAGTGAGGTCCAAAACAATGACTAAACATTTTTGTTCATTGCAATAAAATGAAATATAAAAATTTGATGAAAAACAAAAACAAATGTATAAATGTTGCCTTGGCAACTCACTAAAAATAAACGTCTAGTTCAGTCATGAAACTCTAGAGGGCGCAGGTCCTTTACATGCAGTCTACAAGCAATCACATCATTACTGCATGGCACAAGCTGATTGGCCTCTGCTGACCCTGCAGCCAATGATATTGCTTGCTGAACATTTAAACAGTTGGTTCATTGTTCGCTGTGATCTAATCCTGCTAGTTCATCTAAAACCAAAGGGGGTAATCCATCGACTGGAAGTTGAAGCCTCGCGGGAGCTGCCATCTTGTAGCAGAACTTCACTTGCGTTAGCATTCCCATTGACTCCCATTCATTTTGGCATCACTTTGACAGCGAATAACTTTACATCTGAGGCGTTTGAAGACCCCATTTGTCCATTATTTTACGATTGCATAATATGTAGAGAGATTACCGTATGGACAGGAGGAGAAGCTTGCGGGCAGTCGGGGAAACGTGGAGGCAAAATGACAAAATCAGAATACCTAGCAAAAGTTTCTCCTGCTCCTAGCTCATGAACAGCTCCTACTCACACTCTCCACCTCTGCGAGTTTCGGAAGGGAATGATTCAGATTTTTCATGCCACAGACACTAGAAGACAGACGGGTTGCTCACGTCACTCACATCTATGTCGTCAAGCTGTGTTTGAGTCGGTTTGAGACTGCGCGTCAGGAACGGAAGTGCTAAAAAATCGCCACTTGTCTCAATGGAGTTCCAGTGAGATGGCTCTGTCCACTTCTTATACTGTCTATGCTAAAACTCCCCAGCTCCACCTGCCTAGATCTACTAGGGGATTGACTATTGTCTATATTTATGCAGGAGCAACATATCTTACAAGCTCACAGCAGCGTGTCTGTGTATCTAACAGTATTAAGTACATGCTATTTGCTCTGCAGCAGCAGTGAAACAGACCAAGACCAAATAACATTGCAATATCCAATAATGCTAAAACTGTTCAGGGTTGTCATGATTGAACTAATAAATAAAAACTGAAACTGTATACATATATATATACATATAGCCTAAAACAAAATTTCTAAAAATGAAACTAAAATTAAAATATAAAAGCTAATTAAAAAAACATTAGTTTATAAATACTAATACAACACTGGTTTAATTGTATCTTCAAAATATCTACTTTTATGTTCTGCAAGAAAAAAACATAGTCAGGTTTGTAATGTGGAACATGAGGATGAGTGCATGACAACATCATTTTCAAACGACAAACTTTTTGGGTAAACTATTCCTTTAAGTAAAAAAAAAAAAAACATAAAATAAAACCTAAAATGTGCTTATAGAGGGTTTTAGCATTAAAAACACATACAATCTCTTGAACCGAACAGTGTTATGTTTTATATTTACTTGTGAAGCCAGCGGCTAATGAAGGCCATGTATCGATCTACAGATCAATAAATCATGCATATTTAATTTGAGCATGTTCTTTTTTTAAAACAGCTCGACTGTGTCCCTGCACACTCTGAATGTCATGATTCAGTATTGGCAATTCCATCAATGTAGGCTCTCGCATGGCAGCAGTTTGACCAAGCCAGCCGATGTTACACCGATGACACTTGGCACTGCATTGACATTTTACTTCTAAAGATAACATGAAAGGACAGCCAGATTGGGACCCCTGTTGTCATGATTCTTATGAACTTTTCTTTTAAACAAAGAAGAATAAGCAGAACCTTTTAGGGTAAAATAAAGGCTGCGACTAAACAAGCATTCTCTTCAATATCTGCTTGCTGAGGCGAGATAATTGGAACATGTCCCTCCACCTGTTAGAATATGTGGAGATCTGAAGCTCTCTCTCTCTCTCTCTGGTCATGCTTATTTAAGAGATAGCATCAGGACTGTGACGGTCAATGAGAAATTGTCGACTGGGGGTTGCTTCATGTTATTATGGCATTTCAGCAGTGGGAAAGGGGAAATGAAGTAAAGATCAGACTCCCTGTGCTTATACTTCCATTGTATAGCAGGCATTGAGGAACATTTTGGGACCTGACTCGCACATTTCCCTGAGCTATACGTTTATACTGATAACAAAAGAAAGGTATTGGGAATCTATGAGATTTGATCAGTTTTAAGTAAAAATATCCACCTGTAATTGGTCCATGCAGTCAGTGTGGTTTATCTTCCTCTGACTCACGGAGAGTAAATGCTCCAGGCGTACAGCCCTCTGTGCAGTAGACTGGCATGAAATCATTAAGTTAATTTCCTGCTCCTGAAAATTTGCAAAGGAGAGAGATTAGACTTTAAGGCAAGTGTCACTGAGGCAAATACTCTTTTGAGTATCCTCCCAAAGAACTGAGATTATTTTACTTTAAAGGAATTTTGAAGGAAATTTACTTGCAATTTCTGGGTGAAAATGGTTTCAAGCTAACACCATTTTCTTTTTCAGCTTGCAGGGGTGTGTTTATGTGGACTAAATGATTGGAGAAATCCTGCATATGTATGTCTGTCTGTCTGTCTTTTCACCAGATGACATTTTGATTAAAAATTATGAGCAATGTAAAAAAAAAAAAAAAAAAAAAGCACATGCAGGCGTTTCATTTCATGCCGACTTTAAGTGAGATGAAGATTCCACTCATAAGTAACCTAGTTTTATTTTAAATGTTTGTAGCTTCACAGCGGTGTAAATGTTAAAAATACGACGATGCTAAATATGCCAAAATAAATAAATGAATCACGGATGACCATGTACAGCCGTGGCCAAAAGTAATTGCAGTGACAATGTTGGCTGCTTCAGTATTTGTAGATTCTTTTTTCAGATGGGTTTTCCGAAGTTTTAAAGGCTTTATTGAAAATAAATAAAAGAAAGACTCAATATTTACAGCGTTGACTGTTCTTCCTCATAACTTCTGCAATTCGCTTTGGCATGCTGGATGTCATCTACAGGGCCAAATCTTGACTGATGGTGATCCATTCCTGCCTTATTAGTGTTCGATCACAATTTGTGGACTTCTCCTTGTTCACTCGCCTTATGAGGATAGACCACAGGTTCTCATATGAGTTCCGGGGTATTGCCTGGCCATGATAATTTCAGTGATGATCTCCGAGCCACATCATTATCACTATTGCTTTGTCATATGGTGCTCCGTCATGCTGGAAAATACATAGATCATCAGGAAATTGCTCTTGGTTCTTTGGGAGAAATTGTACTCGCAGGATGTCTTGATACCAAAGTAACCCCACACTAGCCTGGATGCCAGCCCGAACTCCGCCCACAACATTTTTTGGTCGGGAAGTTCGGTCTGGACTCGATCCATTGAGGAGTAATTATGATCTGACAAGAAACGTTCGGGCTAGGGCAAATTGCCAGGGCGGGCTTCATACGATGATGGACAAATGATCTGCAAGGACGTAATCATCACGTTATCAAAGAGCGCCTAACTGGTCTCTCAAGATGACTGGAGCTGGAGAATTGAGATGTATAGATTCCACTGTCGCGTCTGTTTTTAAAATGAATCGACAGCGCATTAATTTTAATAGACGAACAGAGAACTGCAATCGAGGCATTTGTCGATCGGAAAGATATTTTTGGAGTCCTTCCTACATGATTCGGGAAAAGTGTAACTTATCAGCTGGCTCTGACGGTCGTTAAGAAGATGGGACGTAATGAAAAGCCTGTGGTCGTTGTGGTTTCTCCTTTGGTCGCACTCATGGAGGAGTAAGTAAAAGAAGCAACACTAGTTATTTAACTTCAAAAATAAGTAAGTTCTATAGTTGAAAACTGCGCTATGCAAAGTTGCTGTGTTACTGCGTTGCTCTGATTGGTTGTAGGTTTACCGACTATCCAATTGAGTGCAGAGTTTTTTGTTTTTTTTTCCTGGTTCGGTTACGACACGCCTCATAATCAAAGCATACGGAGGAGTTTCAGACTCAGAACCTCGCTAGAATATGAGTATGACGAAGTCAGGCTAACCCCACACATGGTCTCAGGATGTTTCACTGTTGGTACGACACAGGACTCATGGTAGCGTTCACCTTTTCTTTTCCAGTCAATCGATTTTCCAAAGTTCTCAAATAGTCAGAAGTCGGCTTCAACAAAGAAATTAACTTTACACCAGTCTTCTATTGTCCAATCCTTGTACTTCCAGCAGAATTTCAGTCAGTCCATATGCTTTTCTTGGATAGAAGTGGCTTCTTGCAACGCATTCTCATCCTAGGGAGTTATCTAACTGACAATTTTGACCATGCGTCTAAATCCGACGCACATGGCAACCTTTAGCGTCAGTTAGATGATGCGGGCAGGTTTATGTCTGGGGTAGGGTTAGGATTAGACCACTAGGAGGCACTTCTCATATTGACGCTAAAGGGTGCCATGTGCGTCGGATGTTGGTGCATGGTCAAAAGCGTCAGTTAGATGACGCCTTGGGATGAGAACGGGCTGACACCAGGTTGTTGTCCAAAAGTTTTGGCCTCCCTGTGTTTGCAGATGTACTCACACATACCTACTGTCAATGCTGAGCAGCTCTGCACCTGGGTTGATACAATGACTGTAAAAAACAGTCCTGGGGCTTGCTAGACACTCTGGGACATCCTAAAGCCTTTTTTACTGGAGTTGAACCTCTCTCCTTGAAGTTCTTGATGATCTGGTAAATTTCCTAAATTTCAACAATTTCCTACATGTCTTTCTTTGGAGGTTTGCTGACACAAGAACACAATGATTGAAAGCCCCCTTAACATAAATAAATAAATAAAAATTTAAATGCACCTGATCACTATGCACACTAATCTACAAACATTGTGAATCCACACCACAACAACAGAAGGATCAATATAAACTCACTGCTAATAGCTGCAGCTGTATAATCACACCGCTAAGTGAACAACTGCTATTGACCAGGGCAACATAAAGATGAATATGAGTGCACCAACCAACCAATCAATCAACCAACCCCCTACCTTTAGATCTTGATAGTGTAGTCTCAGTTGTCTAACACGATTCCTCGCCTCTGCGGCTTTTAATTGTGCGGTGAGTTGATTTTGGCGCTCGGCAGCAGCAGTGGAGGTGCCGACCTGACAGGATTTTTGATGATTTAGATGCGCGCGCACGCGCTGTTTTGCCACTTCCATCCATCTCTGTGTTTGTTTAGGTGGCTCATTGTAGGCTTCGTGACGAGCTCTCTGCTGAGGGCACATCTTCACAGATATGCTGTTCCGTGATTTCCGTCCTGCCATCTTTCACTTCCACAAACAGGGCGCAATTAAGCTATAGGCCTAAAACAAATTGTTTTGTTGTTGTTAAATTAGCTTTTTAAGCTGACAAGAATACAATGGACTACTTTTTGTTTTATACAAACAATATATTTGTAGCCTACATTGTAGAGAAGAAAGGCCAACATTTTAATATGCTATGAGGATTTCCTAAACTAGCCTCCTTTTCTAATAGTATATCTTGCACTACACACTTCACTATTTCTTAAAATATTTATTGTTTTCAATAAAGTAAAATTGCAATGATCGTCTTTAACATTTAATAATCGTTATGTTAAATAAGAGAGTGATTTGATAGTCATTCATAACTCACAAAAGACGCTTTGTCGCCACCTGTTGACATAACGATGTATCATGCAGAAATGATCGTTTTGATTGAATCGTTTTTTTAACGAATTAAATGATTCGAGTAACTGAGATAAATGAATAGAAAGTCATTCAAAACATTAAAGTCAAAACATAACGCTCTGCGCATTATTCTAGATATATAAACTTATGCAACATATTTTAGACTATAATTTAAAACGTTTTACCTCACACAACTCGAGTAACAGAAACATGCCTTTTGTAGTAGAAGAAATGAACATGCGCTGTTTACTAGTCGTCATGGCGACTTGATCTTTGTCTTGTTGACAAAAGCAATGAACCATTTCAGGCAGCAAGGCTAATACTAATAAATTGTTAATTTGTGAAATGAGTAGCCTATTACTGCAGTTAGCCTGCAACAAGATTCAGTGAATAAAAAAAAGAAAAGAAATATTTTTGTAAAAGAAATGTTATGTTTAACACCACCAGCATGGTTTTGAACATGTAGGCTATGGTAATATGATCATGGTATTCTTTGAAGAATGGAGTAGGATTGGCTACTCCCACAGGTCTGTACTGTAGGCCTGTAGGAATATGGTAATCATGTTATCTAAGTCCCATGGTATTGTCATTTGATACCACAGTAAAATTTGCATGTGTGTAAGACACTTGGCTACTTTATATGCTATGTTTCTGTATAAAGGGAGGAGCGGGTGATTATTGAATCCCAGCTCTTCCTTACAGCCGGTGCTGAGAAGATAAGAGATGATATACATGCTGCCTATTCTGCAATGAGCAAACAAACGAGGACAGGAAAACAAACATGCACGCACTTCCTGAAAATTGAACTTCTGTACGCAAGCCTGCATGATTTATTTTTTTTTTTTCTTTTCTCACCTTTGCTGGGTTATGATTGATGCACTGTTGGCGCTGCTGGGGGGAAATTGGACTGGCTGCATGTCACCATGCAATTAACTATATGATCAAAGTGTTGTGCAAAGTTCAATGTTCTCCATCAGGATCCCACTGTAGCACACTTAACTCCCACTGTGATCTATGAACTCTATAATGTGGAAAAAATGGAAAGTGATATCTTATTTTTTGTACAACTTGTTTCCATGAAAATACATTAGCTGAACCCTTAAGAAAAGTAATACTGAATAGTTAAAACATATTCTTGATTTGAGAGTGTTGATAAGGTACACAAAAGTATTTTTACATTTAGGGTAACATGGTGAGTTAGAAATGTTCATACTTGTGTCTGTCAACTGCTATGTAAACAAATAAGTAAGTAAGTGTACAGTAAGTTAACCTTACAAAACAGTAAAGCTATTTGCAGGCATTGTTCATGGTTAGTTCAGATTAACTAGTGCATTAACTAATGTGAACGTCTCAGGTTACGACTGTAACCTATGTTCCCTGAGAACAGGGAACGAGACAATACGTCGAATGACGCTATGGGGGGAACGCCTCAGGCGTGACAGGTGTCTGAAATCAAATATCAACTCACAGTAATCAGGTTGACCGGCGACAGCCCGTGCATCATCAGCTTGAATGATGAGCGCGTCAATCTGGATGTATAAGAAGGGCGCCTTGAAACCGTGACAACATCCTATCGTCTGAAGGGACTGTTGCAGGCAGGCCCCGAGGCATGGCAACGAGACGTATTGTCTCGTTCCCTGTTCTCAGGGAACATAGGTTACAGTCGTAACCTGAGACGTTCCCTTTCGAAGGGAACTCAACAATACGTCGAATGACGCTATGGGGAACGAAATACCCACTCCGCCATGCTGAGGGGAGTGCATGCCGAAAGGCAGTGACAACTGTCAGAACCAGTAATTCCAAGAAACACTGAAACCACTCACCCTATGTTACATCGGGCTGTCAGTGACAGCACTCCCTACCGGTCATAGCCCAAGCTAATGAACCAAGAAAAACCAGAACGTAATAACGTGAGTAAATCAGGGCCAGCTCAAAGGCTTTAGGACCACAACTTCAAAATAGAAGGGGTCCCTTCTAGGGAGTGTGGCTAGGGGGCCAAAGAGACCCCCAGCCAGTCACTATTCAGGAGAACACTCCTCCTGAAATGCCCCCAGGCTGGCCTGGTGATCTGTACTAAGACACACAGTCTGGTCATAGCCTGTCCGTCCAAGACAGAGCCTCTGGAAATTGCCTAGAAAAGGCATCCAAAAACTGAAGGCCAGCGAAGCTGGCGGAAACCATCGAGTTTCGGATCACAGAGACGGGATCCTCCGGAGAGTGTGACTCAACCTCGAACCAATGGGAATCGTACACTCAATCCACGAGTTTCCACCCAGTGCTCGCTTTTGAGCACTGAGGAAGTAAGAGAGGGATCAAAAATCAGGAAGGTCAAAGAGACCTAAGACCTGATGACCCCATGTGTGGGGAGCTCCGATACATGAGGGCTCATGTCAGGAAGGCCGTACGTTGTGCGGCCTGAAACCCAACGACCACAGCATGTGGAAGCTCATCCTTCAGGAAAGCCAGAGGCTAGAAACCTGACAGACCCACAATGTTGGGCTACCTCGAAAAAGGTCTAATCAGACCTAAAACCACAGTTGTGGGAGATAGCTTGAACAAGGGAAGTGCCTGTCGTAATGTATTGCGACAAAGACACATCTACAGTGGGACCCAAAGTGAAGAACCGGAGTCTGAACCACATAAGAAGGGACCGAAGCATACCGCGCGTGACCCTCACCATATGAAATGGATTTTAAAAACTGCACAAGACATCTCGTCAGGTGACTTACCACAATAATAGGTGAAGTATGGGTTTGTGTACTTCACTCTGAATTCAGGAAGGCCTGTTGAGGCCTGTAACCTGGCGTCCACAGTGTGTGGGAGCTCATGGCCAGGAAGGCCTGGTAAGGCCTGTAACCTGGCGACCACAGTATGCGGGAGCTCGTAACCTGGCGACCACAGTATGTGGGAGCTCATAACCAGGAAGGCCTAGTGAGGCCTGTAACCTGGCGACCACATCCGGTGGGAGCTCGTACTCAGAAAGGTCAGTGAGACCCAGCCTGGTGTACCTGAAAAACCACACCAAGTGGGAGCTACTTCCAGAAGTTAGCTCTTAAGAACTCTTAAAGTGGGACCCGAGGAAAGACCGGGGTCTGAGCCACATAAGAAGGGACCGAAGCATACTGCGCGTGACCCTCACCATAAGAAATGGATTTTAAAAAGTGCACAAGACATCTCGTCGGGTGACTTAACACAATAATAGGTGAAGTATGGGTTTGTGTACTTCACTCTGAATTCAGGAAGGCCTGGTGAGGCCTGTAACCCAGCAACCACAATATGTGGGAGCTCATAACCAGGAAGGCCTGTTGAGGCCTGTAACCTGGCGACCACAGTGTGTGGGAGCTCATGACCAGGAAGGCCTGGTAAGGCCTGTAACCTGGCGACCACATTGGGTGGGAGCTCGTACTCAGGAAGGTCAGTGAGACCCAGCCTGGTGACCACAACCTGTGGGAGCTTACTCCACCAAGTGGAAGCTACTTCTTCCAGAAGTTAGCCAGAGAAGGGCGTCCCTGTAGCCAGTGACAGGACGCCACTTAAAGTGGGACCCAAGGGAAGACAGGGGTCTGAGCCACATAAGAAGGGACCGAAGCATACCACGCGTGACCCTTACCATACAAAATGGATTTTAGAAAGTACACAAGACATCCCGTCATGTGATTTACCACAAAAATAGGTGAAGTAGGGGTTAGTGTACTTCACTCTGAATTCAGAAAGGCCGAACTTGAGGCCTGTAACCTGGCAGCCACAACAAGTGGGAACCCATAATCAGGAAGGCCTGACAAGGCCTAACACCCGATAGTCCCAATGCATGGGGAGCTCACATTCAGGAAGGCCACTGAGGCCTGCAGCCTGACATGTGAAGACTCACCACTACAACTTAGCGACCACGAAAAGTGGGGGTTTCACATTCAGGAAGGCCTGGTGAAGCCTGGAACCTGACATGTGACAACTCACAACCAGGAAGGCCAATGAAGCCTGAAGCCTGGTGACCACAGAGTGGGAGCAAAGTGCTCAGGGAAGGTGGTGAGGCTGTAGTCTGGCTACCGCATCATGTGGGAGCCCACATTCAGGAAGGCTGGGTGAGGCCTGTAAACTGACTACCACAGTATGTGGGAACTCATAACCAGGAAGGCCCCTTTGAGGCCTGTAACCTAGCAACCACAATGTGTGGGAGCTCATCACCAGGAAGGCCTGGTGAGGCCTATAACCTGACCACCACAGAAAGTGGGAACTCATAACCAGGAAGGCCCCTTTGAGGCCTGTAACCTAGCAACCACAATGTGTGGGAGCTCATAACCAGGAAGGCCTGGTGAGGCCTGTAACCTGGCGACCACAATGTGTGGGAGCTCATAACCAGGAAGGCCTGGTGAGGCCTTTAACCTGGCGACCACAGTACGTGAGAGCTCGTATCCTGGTGACCACAGTATGTGGGAGCTCATAACCAGGAAGGCCTGGTGAGGCCTGTAACCTGGCGACCACAGTATGTGGGAGCTCATAACCAGGAAGGCCTGGTGAGGCCTGTAACCTGGCGACCACAGTATGTGGGAGCTCATAACCAGGAAGGCCTGGTGAGGCCTGTAACCTGGCGACCACAATGTGTGGGAGCTCATAACCAGGAAGGCCTGGTGAGGCCTTTAACCTGGCAACCACAGTATGTGGGAGCTCATAACCAGGAAGGCCTGGTGAAGCCTGTAACCCAGCGACCACAGCATGTGGGAGCTCATAACCAGGAAGGCCTGGTGAGGCCTGTAACCCGGTGACCACAATCAGTGGGAGCTCATAACCAGGAAGGCCTGGTGAGGCCTGTAACCTGGCAACCACAGTATGTGGGAGCTCCCACAGATGTCTCTCCGTGGCCACCATAGCACCGACAGAACAGCAGCTTGCTTGGTGGCCCGGAGTCCCGCAACAGATCGGTCTGGTAGGCCTGAGGACCACAAGGGCGTGCAGAACCGCACCTGCCTGACCTGCTGCCGTGTACGCTCTGTCATTCAAGCATGAAGATGTCTTGAGCAGCTTGGATGACAGGGTCAGAGCTCTTAGTGAAGAGGACCAACCAGAGATGAGATAGTTAGCCAACGTCTCGTCCACTGGTGGCCTCGACACTTATCCGTTCTCCACGGCTCCCTCCACAGCAGCGAAACTAGCCCGCTGATGCAGATAGAGACGTGAGGAGAACGGATTCTTCCATACCCTCTCGATCCCAGCGTGGAGATCGGAAACGAATGGAAGGCTCATCCGGGCTGGTGGCTTATGG